CTCCACTTTGAAAGGCAGCTTTCAGCATCCAGCTTTCAACAAATACAGATGTTGACCTCTTTGCTGACCTCATTTATAATCTATGAAAATTTCACACAATCAAGTTAATATTAAATCAGGCTGCTATTGATTCAAGCATCATCCACCAAATTGTTTGTTCTGGATTCCCATTTTACCCTCAAACTGTTCTTCCTCGAGAGATACAAAACACCATCTCTACCACACTTTAGCATCTCCAGTATGTGTTTCCTGGAAGTCGGACATAGGCAGCATATATCCTACTTGAAATCTGGCAGCAGCTCATAGGCAGTGGTGGACCCTGGAGTCTCAAATTTCAGTGGTGTCCTGTCAGTGCCAGAACCCCCCCCCCCATCCTCCGTCTCTCATGCTCCATTCTAAATAATGGTTGTGGTGTCCCCAAAGCTTCACCCCCAGTATGACCAAACCAGCTGCAGTTCCCTAAATCCACCTCTGGAACAGGTCTAATGTGGGGAGAGAACTTTGATTTGAGTCACATATTTAATACAAATCTTTATATAAGCAAAAATGACACAAGCAAGTATAGCCTTAACTAATGAAAACTAGAAAGTTCTTATCTAGGGCTGCAGTGCTAACTTACCCAGGAGCAAAGCTTTATGTGTGTGAGAGTACTCACCAGTATAGAGAACTGGCACCTCTTTTTTGCCACTCATGGGAGCCATTTTGTGCTGACACACATGTTGGGGCCTAGCGCTGTCCACAGGCGACCAGGGCACACCCTTGCCACTGACTTGTTAGAAGGACTTACTTCTGAGTAGATGTTGTTAGGTTTCCCCTGTAAATCAAGCTTTTAGAACTGAATCTATTGCTTTACTCCCTAACAGATGCTATGTTGCTGGACCAATATTTCCTATTATTTTTAATGAGAGAATAGGGCTGTTACTTTTGTAACAAAGGCGAAAGAACACATTATGCTTTCCCTAAACTGACACAGGGAACTGCTCATGTTTTCTGATACCATATGGTGCAGAATAACTAAAGGGCTCACAAATATGTGGTTAGTTATGGAGAAAAGTAATTGTTTATTTATTTATTTTCTTATCCTTGGGTTATCCATGTCAGCTTTTCTTTCTTTCTTTCTTTCTTTCTTTCTTTCTTTCTTTCTTTCTTTCTTTCTTTGCTTCATTGTACTTGGGACTGAGCATCTCTGCAAAATATATACTTGATGCTTGAACTCTTGGACAACATATTGAAGATACTGTAAAGCTCAGGAAGAAGATGCAGGGACACTAATAAATATGGATGCACTGAAGGACTATGGGTGTTATCTGATGATGTTCCCACTGCTGACCTGGGGACCTTACAGAGCAGATTTGCACTGAGAGGAGGCATCTGGTTAGACACAGAAGAGTAGTGGGAGGAACCAGCTCAGTGCACAGGAACTGGTGGTAGAATGACAATGAGCGGTGAGAGGCAGAAGAGGGAGAAGTTGAGAAGAGGAGGTGGTGCAGGAAGCTGAAGAGGTAACAGGGCTTAGTGAGCTGGGAGAGTCTGCAGCAGAGAGACATCCAGAATCAGAGGCAGAAGTTGAAGCAGAAAAGGAGGGAGGTCAAGAGGCAGATCTGAGTCTGACTGAGGAAGAGGCACGGCTGTCTCACCCTCCTGCTGGTACAAGCTTCCCTCCTCCCTGGTTTCCGAGAACCACAAGAGGCATGAAAATGGCAGCAGAGAAGTTAGCTTCACGCAGGCACAGTCTCAGATTGCTTGGGTAAAACCCTGGAAAGGAGGGGGACTTAAGCAGCTGTGAGGAGGCAGGGACCTTCAGTCTCAGCAACTGGAGATGAGTTGCTTTGCTCATTAGGCCTAGCACCCCTGTTCAAATCCTGTTTTTGCTAATAAAAAAGTTAACTCCAACTTGCTCGGTGTGATTTACTGCTGGCTTGCTCCCGTCAGAAGGAATGACCCTCTGTATTCGGCTCATGCAGGTCTTCTGCAGGGGCATGGAGCACCATTGGATATTACCTTGTATTCTTTCATGATATGAAATTTAATTAAAATGCATGTATTGCATTATGTTATGTGCATTATGTGCACTTAAATCTGTGGCACCATGGCATGTAAAACAGCCTTTTGACAGTTAGTGGATTTCATGGATATTAAGATACCTGGACTCACTTACAAGCAGACGGCTCGGTTCTAAGATTTAGTGCAAACTGCAGACCTGCAGCTGAGTATCAATCTGTGCACTATTACAACACCACAAACACAAACGCATGATGCTGCACTGCTCTTCCAAGCAGATATATTGGTGCAATTAAGGGCTGAAATGCATATGCTCTCAGAAATTATTCTCAGAATTTCTTTCTGAACATTTTAAACATAAATAATGTCCTAATATTCCCAGATGTATTTTTAACTGAATATTTCACATTTGGTTCGAGTTGATTTGAGTATATGAATTTCAGTGGTAATTTAATTGAGATAGCTGACATACATAGCTGACATGCAGCATAATAGGAAACAAGCCTATGGCAAGATCCACCGGGATCAGCAGCTTAGTATGCAAAGGATCTCTGGCTCAGGTGATTCCCAACTCAGCCAGGCTTAGCCAGCATCGAATCTGAATTTGACCTCATAATTTAGCTTGATTTTCTATTTGTTGAATGCCAACTTGTTTTTAAGAAAGCTAAATTATGAGGTCAAATTCAGATTTAATTTGAAATTCAATTCACTGTAAAATTTAAATATTTAAATTCGGGCAAAACAGGAAACATAGGACATTGTTAAACAAATGTGCACACTCCTCTCAGGAACTTCCCTTGCATGCAAAGACAGGCTCCAGTGGATTGAGCAGATGAGACTAATAGTGGGTCCAACTGTCAAGAAGGCGGTTTCTGCAGGGAAGTGAGGGGCAGATGTGGCTCGTGAACCTGGGGAGGTAGCCCATCAAGGAGAAGGAAAACTCTGATCCTAAAGCTCCACTGTCTTGTGGAATATCTTTGGGATGAAAAAAGGCTAAGGAGTAATCCCTGCACAAATCCAGAGTAGCTTCCTAAGATGATTGGATGGCATCTTGTACGCCTCCTTCCAGCAACTCCTGCAGCCAAGCTGGTGGCAACCATATTGCTCTGCTTTCCTTTGGACCACATCAGCAAAGCAGTGAGAGGGACCTTGTCATCTGAGCAGCCCAGGACCACCATACACACTGCCCAGTCTTGTGGCCTGTGGAGGTCACTTTGGTGGTGCTAACACAGCAGTTTGACCTCACCCTTGGAAGCACACTCCATTGTCTCTCAAGACAGACGGATGCCAACAAGAACAACTCCTTTCGACTCCTTTCGTGAAAATGTGTAGGACTGGAATGTTCACTCTACTAAACACTAAGCCTGTGTTAAAATTGATTTGGCTCGCATTCTTATCTGAACCTATTTTGCAATCTCTCAAACATTATATGATCCAAAATGCACTTATCCTTTGAAATGCATACTTCTCTGAATTTTGCAATGCTCTCATAGTTTCCACCCAGATTCTTATATGGGGCTGAACAATCTAGTCTATCCATAAGAGTAGCTGCTGATAGGGAGATGCAGCTGTGTCAGCTGCGTCACTGTGCTTACCAGAAGGTTTTGTCTGGTGTCATCCATATGCAAACCCCTTCCCAAGATAAATTGGATTACCTACCCTAGTTTGTTTACATATACAGTATTTAAAAGCTTTTACATTTCAACTGATTTCCTTGGAATAAGATTATTAAGCCCATTAGAGTGCAGAACACCTATTTAGAAACCAGTCAAGTATTGAGATTTCTTTTTTCCCTTTGAATCAAAGTCTTTAGATATTTAAAAGAAAGCCAACCTACTGCTATTACTTCCAATCCTAAAAGAACTGGTGTGTTATATAGAATTCACTGGAGCATGCCATTCTCTCAAGCTCTGTAAGTAATGACTGTGCCACACTTTTTTTCCATTAAATTCATGGAGGGTGGGGGAACAATCTCTGGGACTTTAGTCTATGAAAAGATACTAAAGCACATTTTAACCAGGAACGGATTCTCCTTTCATTTCAAAACAAGTACTAATGATCTCCAAAAATGTCTCTTTTCCTTCAAATCCCAAATTCATTGCAATAGGAGGGGGGAAAGAGGTGGAGGGAAATTTCATAAACTTCCATTTTTGACAGGAGCCGATGAGTTGTTTCCACCTGTTATAATTTCTATTAATAGGAGCAGTGCTTTCCCCCCTAAAAACATGTTTAGAGGTACTCTTATTTTCCTTCTCATATTGAAATACTGCCCCTCAATGAGGCCAAACTTAGATTCACATAATGTTTAGGGACATGCGTACCCCTCAGTCCCCCCAGAAAAAAGCACTGAATAGGAGACTAATCAAGAATCACTATTAGCTTACAAGAGATTTGTGAATTTTAAGTGTTATTTTGGTGTGATACTCAGTGCTTTTTTCCTGAGGCTATGCAAACCCTTAAACTTTTTTTTCATCTAACGGGAGAAGAAATGAAAAAAAGTAAAAAATGTAGTTTCTTCTCTAGCACGGTGAATCGTCCATTCCATTGCTACCCCCCGATGGCTGCCTCATTTCCTGTCATGGTGTTTCACGAGTCTCAGACGGAAAGAGAGTACCCCTAAATATGTTATTTAGAAAAAAAGGCACTGGTGACACTAAGTGTGATGCTGAAAACACTACGCCAGTGGGGCCTGCCATCATTATAATAGGGAATTGTAGGGAAGCACAGAACAATATTCCTAGACACATGAATAACTCTTGCCAAAGTAAATCCAGTGATCTGTTCACTAGCTGGCCAGGCAAAATCATTTAGGAAGGCAAAAGGGATGGTGAAGGAAGTGGCCTGGGGAGAAGAAGTGCTGCTAGAGAGGGAGTGTGGCCCAGGCAGAGTCCTTACGGCCACACAGAGAGGTCTGGGGGGATGCAACTGGACCGCAGGCTGAGGTTTCCCTCCCTGTTTTACAGAGTGATAGAGCAATTCTGTGCATGCATACTTAGGTTAGGCCATTAGCTCAGTGGTAGAGCATCTGTTTTGCATGGAGATGGTCCGGGTTTCAATCTCCAGGTAGGTCTG